ACCTGATGCGGGTAAGTTTTTACCTTTAGATCATGATTTAGTACATTTTGTCGTATTTTTTTACTTTTGATTGTTATATATCATCGATAGACAATTATCGTATCAAACCTTTAAAGTGGGAAAGCTTTCTAGTGGTTGGGTAGGCCGGCTATATGGGTTAATTCTTCATAAATTTATTTATCTGTACCAGATATTTATATCAAATTAGATTTTCTTACTAGAGCTAAGAGATTTAGTAAGATGAAATTATGTAATATTTAACAATTGTTAAATGGAAAAACGTACATGTAAATTCGTATCATGCATCTATCAGTTTGATCTAAACATCAGATAAGAGTAAGTCTTTACGTTGACTTCGGTATCTCAATAGTATATCATAAGTTGTGTTTGTCTTAAATCCTACTGAATCTTAAAATCGTCTTCTATAACCTATTTTTATAACATAAAGTAGGAATTTCAGACTACAAACTATAAATTAATTTTCCTAGTTAAAGTAAACAGCTTAATTTAGTAGTCAACAATGGGTGAGTTTAACTATATTGGTAACTGTTCGTATAAAAAACAAAAGCTTAAATTAGTAACCTAAAAAATAAAATAAATTATTAGTACAACAAGTTAAAGTATATTAATAATGTAAAAAAATTTAATTGTGTGTATATAAGTTAATCCTACAATTGAATCCTACCAAATCTTGAACTCTTCTTCTATATTATCCCATTTTTAGCAAACGAATTTTAAGTAAAAGAGGATAATTACTGGATATGTTTTTTTTTTTTTTTGAATATATAGAATCCTAGTTGAAATAGTGCGCTCATTTGTAGCAGTAGCCAACGAGGATTTAAAATCCTTAGCTATTATATCTCTATATAAACTTTCCAAGCTATCATAATTTTATATATCCTTCTTCTTTCTTTCTCCTTTTTTTATTCTTTCACGTATTTCATTAATTGTTCGTTAAACAATGGATTCAAGAACTAGGTTGTTTTGTTTGGTTCTTTTAGTGTTTTCTTGTTTTTGTTTGTCTAAGGCAGATGAATTGAAGGTAATGGTAAAAGGAGTGACATCTATAGCTAAAACAGATGATAATTTCATATGTGCAACTTTAGATTGGTGGCCAGAAAACAAGTGTGATTATAATCAATGTCCATGGGGAAAAGCTGGTATTCTTAATCTGGTAATTTCTTTTTCTAAATTTTGATCTCTCCAAGTTTTTTAGCTTTTTTTTATATATAAGATATTCATGAAAATAAGAAGGAAAATTAGGAGAGTTTAAATCAAGTTTTTATTGATTGATTGTGAAAAAAATCATGCAGGATTTGAAGAACAAGATTCTTACAAACGCCGTTAAAGGTTGGTACTAAAGTTCATTGCTTTTTAATATATCTTATGTGTGTAAATAATATTGTGCTAAAAATATATGTATACATAGGTCGATAACACTCGAAAATAAGACAAAGGAAATATATACTTGCGACTAGAAGTACAATCTTAAAACTCCCACAGTCTCATGCTATCACTTAAAATTTAGGCGAAGCCATAATTTGAAATTTATAGGTTTAGAATTCTTGGTTTACGTTACTAGGTCTACACTTTTAAGTTACTAGGTTTTATGTTAATAATTTATACATATTAAATAAAATTTTAAGACAAATAAAGGAAATTTTGGCCGTACACTAACTCTGTCACTGCTTACAAGTAGAATTGTGACAATAAATTGACATTGCTTGCACTAACAATGTGCAGCTTCATAGAATGCAAGAACGAAATAGAAAAGAGTTTAGAGAATATAATAGAAACGGAAAACAGCTAGAGAATATAATGCAAACAAAGGAACATTTTGCTTGAAAATAGAGTTTAATTATGGAAACTTGTCTTTTCCTTTAGATGTTCTCATGGTTTTCATGACCCAATCTTGTTTTTATTCCAAAACATTTGAACCCCAAAAAAAAAAGGACGTTAAAAATTTGCAGTTTTTTTTTTTCCTCTAAATTAGTTTGATTATTTTTGAAAATTTTGCAGCATTCAATCCACTAAGAATCAGAATAGGAGGTTCACTACAAGATCAGGTTTACTACAAAGTTGGAAAATTCCCAAAGCAATGCTCAAACTTAGAGAAAAAATCAGATGGCCTTTTTGGATTTGCTGAAGGCTGTCTCCACATGAATAGATGGGATGAATTGCATGATTTGTTTAACAAAACAGGGTAAGCTCATCATTTTTCTTCTCCTTTAATTTATTTTCTCTTAAATATACTGCACCACTTAAATTTTATATAGTAATATTCTACATTCTTTTACTTTTATATATAAATGTACATGGTCACGAGTGAGACAGTGAGTGTAGATGGATCTTAATTAGTTGTAGTACAATATGGGGTCGATTTATGGACTAGTTATACGGAGATTATAATACATAAATGTTATGTGCGGCATAATATAATAGGTGTTGTTATGTGCGAATTGATACTTTAAGAGTCTTTTTGTCTTTGGTAATTCTTATTCATGTATCTTTACTACTTCTATAAAGAAAAAAACTGGAACTCCGTGGTTTGAAAAAACCATTAAAAGCATGTCATTAAAGGTAAATTAAGAAATATAAAGCTAAATTGTTTGGTAAAATTGAATGGTGTGATTTTTTAGAACATACTAATAAGAAAATAATGTCACATAAAATAGAATAAAGGGAGTATTACTTTTGCAAAATTTTATGCTGAGATTATTTTTTATTAGTGTGTCAAACCAAATGACTCCTATGCAGGGGTAGAGCTAGGGGACGGACTTCGCCGAAAAACTACATTGTATATATTAAAATTATTTTGATGCATAAATATAAATGTTTAATCCTGTTGGCTTGTTCATATATTTACTTTTTAATATTCTGAATCCCCTTAGTAAAACTTCTGGGTCCGCCATTTCTCTATGTTAACATTTTTATCTTTGTGAATTTATGCAGGGCTGCATTAACATTTTCATTGAATGCCTTACTTGGAAGGATACAATCAGATGAAGATGATACTCTTTGGGAAGGAGATTGGAATCAGTATAATGCAAAATCATTGATGAAATACACTGTTAAAAAAGGATACAAGATTGACTCATATGAATTAGGTAAAAATACAAACTATAATCCTAAGCCAATGAATTATGTTTCTTGTTTATAAAAGTACTTAACATATTTCTTTTGGTAGGTAATGAGCTTTGTGCAGGAGGGGTTGCTGCAAAAATAAAAGCTCAGCAATATGGCAAAGATGTCAAGAAATTGAAGAAACTTGTAACACATATGTACCCTGACCCTGCTTCTAGACCAAAAATCTTGGCCCCTGGTGGATTTTATGATGAAGAATGGTTCAAAATCTTCCTTCAAACTACCGGTCCGGACGTCGTCGATGGATTAACACATCATATTTACAACTTTGGAGCAGGTACATAACAATGTTCTTACATCGAGGCCGATCCAGGATTTAAACTTCAAAGTTTTTCAGCCTTTTAATTTCCTACTACTGAACTTGTCACAATTATCTCACATATATAAATCTATGTTCCGCATAAAAAATGTTGTATTGTCTCCTTGATTTCCCCCTCTGGTTTGAGTTTGACTTGTTTTTGGACTAAGAATCTTGGTAAATTGCAGGTGTTGATCCAACTTTGATTAACAAACTTCAGGATCCATTTTACCTTAGTCAAATAGCTCAAACTTTTAATGATGTTTCAAATACTGCTAAATTGTTTTCACCATCTTCTGGACCTTGGGTTGGTGAATCTGGTGGAGCTTATAATAGTGGTGGCAAAACCACTTCACATACCTTTGTCAACGGCTTCTGGTAACTCTTCATAGCAAGTCTGATATAGTAAATAACTCTTCCTCTCCGTTGGCTAGAATGTCTAATGTAGTAATCTTTTTGTTGCAGGTATTTGGATCAACTCGGAATGACATCAACTTTCAACCATAAGGTATACTGCAGACAATCCTTAATTGGTGGAAACTATGGTCTTCTCAACACTACAAGTTTCATCCCAAATCCAGATTACTATGGGTATTTAACGCGATTCTCATCATCTCAAATCGCCTTTTTCTCATATTTTAAGTCTAGCTGTTTTACAATGTTTTTTCCTGATAACTTTTGCAGTGCTCTTTTGTGGCATAAGCTCATGGGAAAGAATGTGCTTTCTACTACTCATGAGGGCTCACCTTACTTGCGCACTTATGCTCATTGCTCAAAGACAAGTGTAAGATACAACATTATCAAGAATTTCAACTTTACTATGATCTTATTAAGTATAACAAGATTTTAACAGTTGGAGAAAACATCTGTATTATTTGTGTTTTCAGGGTGTTACAGTTCTATTAATTAACATGGACAAGTCGACAACATTTGAAGTATCTGTGGTAGATGACTTGAACATGTATCCTAGTAGGATTGAGCCTATACATCAAAGGGAAGAGTACCATTTGACACCAAAAGATGGCAACATTCAAAGTGATGTTTTGTTGCTAAATGGCACTCCATTGAAGCTCACTGCCTCATTCGACATCCCAGAAATGAATCCTCAGCTCGTTGATCCAACGTTGCCTATCTCCGTTGCTCCTCGTTCTATCGTCTTTGCCACCTTGAGAGGGTTCCAAGCTCCTGCTTGTGCATAGATAAATTATAAATTTCATTTAGTTTTAGATTAGGATAAAGACGTTAGATTCCTTTCATCAACATGTTTAGAGAAGTTTCAGATCAAACTTAATACTTTGTTTTATTTTTCTAGTAAGTTGCTTTATATTACATTCTCAGTTTTGTTTTCTTTCTTTCTTCTATGGGATTCTGATAAAGGAATTTTTATCTATATAAAAGGAATCTGAATCACTTCAAGAAAAAGCAAACCATTTAACAGAAGAAAAGAATGCTTGATATCTTTGTTTTCAAGATCCAAAACCAACCCTTGCATGCAAAGATATCTTCTTTAATAAGTACATTCAAAGATATCAAAAAGCAGAACACAGCTTTTATCAAACTGAAAAAGAAAGCTTCCTTTTTTCTCCTGTGCTTCTCCTTCAAATTTCACTATTATCAAATCTTTGAGATATCAAAATAAGGTCCTCATTACAAAGAAAGAATGGATATGCTTAAGCAAATGAGGTAACGTAACACGTCAACTTCAAATTCTAGCATAGAGATATAGCTTTTTCGCGTTACAATTAATATACTGTTCTAGGGTGAGATTCTCCGGTGTAGGAGAAGAAGAGAAAGGAGGAAGCAGCAGCACAAGAGATAGAACAATACCGCCACAGAAAACTCAACCTTTTAAAGGTAGTAACCTAGACTCAAAATCTCAATCTTAGGAAAACAAGAACATTGTAATAGTAAAACTTCTGAATAATATACTAAAAGTTTGGTTTTTGTTTTTGGCAGAGACAAAAAGAGCACCTAGCTGGTTGTACAGACAGTTTATAAGAACAATGAGTCGCGATTATGATTCTAGCGATAGTGTTGACTATCCAGCTGCAGTGGCAGCAGCTGCATTTGCTGTAAAATCAATCGAAGACAAGAGTGAAAAAGACCACAGAAGGACAAATAGTGGAGGAGCTGATAAACCTTTTACCAAGACTAAAGCAGATGATATTATCCCTAAGAAGCCCGAAAAGTTCTCAGGTAGGAAGAAATCTTGCAAAATTTCCATTTTTTTTGTTTTTTTGGGGGTATAATGGTGGTGTGCGGGCCTACTTGTACGAACCTCTAATACTTCATCGTAAGCCCGTTACCTCCCACCAACACAGGTATTAGGTAATTTTGTCCACCAAGAATAAAGCAGATGTGAAGTAACAACCTAACGTTGAATTTGATCCCCCGTCTCACACAGTTAAATTTATAGGTCTTTATTACTACTTTGTAACATAACTTTCTTCTTAACATTGAATCTTATCAGATGAAGTTTCAAAACCAAGACCAAAACTTCCAGATAAAAGTGTGCCAATAAGGACAGCAACAATCAATCCAGAGCCACTTAACACTGTTCCATCTATTAAGAAGAAACCAACTTTTGGAGATACCAAACCTGAAAGTGAAGTTGCTGAAAAGGCCAAAAGAGTTCCATCTATTAAAAAGACACCCACTTTTGGAGATACCAAACATGAAAGTGAAGTATCTGAAAAGGCCAAAAGAGTTCCATCTATTAAAAAGACACCCACTTTTGGAGATACCAAACATGAAAGTGAAGTATCTGAAAAGGCCAAAAGAGTTCCATTAATGAAGAAAACTTCAACATTTCCAGACCAAAGCAAAGCTCCCAAAGCTCCTGAGGTTCCTGTTCGGCCAACTAGACAATCTTCATCTCAAACAGGCATGGCTAAAGGGCAAAATACAATGAAGCTTGGAAGTGGAAATTCTAAGGCAGATATTTGGGAGAAAGAAGAGATGGAGAAGATCACAGAAAGGTATTTTGTTAAACTGATGCCTTATAATTGACATCACACTAAAAACTTTCATTTTAGCCGAGGGTCAATAGTAAACAACCTCTTTGCCCTTCCATGGTAAGGGTAAGGCTGTGTACATCTTGGTGTTGTCCCCAAACTTTCATTCATACCCTTTTCATTAACTTTCCCTCCTTTCTTATTTTGCCTTTTAGAAAGAAAAAGATTTGGTGCAAGCTAATGTATTTTTCGTAACTTATTAGCTTTAGTTCTTCCAAATTTACATAATTCTCAAAGGCAACCCGGTGCATTAAGCTACCACTATGCGCGGGGTACGGAGAAGAGTCGGACCACAAAATTTACATAATTCTCAATCCCCAAATTTGATTTTGTATATTTTGGTTTACATTGCATTTTGACCCGTCGATTTACACAAATATTTGACCAATATTTACCCAATAATTTGATGGTTTGTTCTCGGGTTCAACCTGTTGAGTCAAGTCAACAAGCGGGTCATAGCCCAATCCATCAAAACCTGGACGAGTTGGCCAGGTTATTAGAAAATGGGTTGATTTTGCCACCTCTAGCTGCAACATAAACATAGTCAAGGAGTTAACAATAATACTATTCTCTAACCTCAAAACAGGAAATGGGCTGATTTTGGTTGCTCTATTATATATGACCTACTTCTTTACCCTTTTACTAAAATTTCAGGTACAAGAAGCTCATAGCAGAAATTGTGGAATGGGAAACTAAGAAGAAGAAAAAGGCAAAGAGAGATTTGGAGAGAATTGAGGTAGACTCCCATCTTAAATTTTTTGTTATAGTTAATCTGCTGGAATTCATTTATTTACCAACACACTGAATGGAATTACAGGCTGAAATATTGTCAAATAAAAACAATATGAAATTACAGGCCGAATTAAACAGGCGTAGGGCGAAAGCCATGCGACATTTCAACAATGAAGTTGGAAGGATTGAAAGCATTGCAGGAGGAGCCAAAGAACAAGCAGATCAAAATCGCGAAAACGAAGAGCTTAAGGTTAAAGAGAAGGCAAATAAGATCAGATCAACTGGGAAAATGCCAGCAACATGTTTATGCTTTTAAATACTACCCTTCATAATAAAGCTGTAAAAATTTTAGAGATAGCTTTTCTACAGGGAAAAACATGTATATATATACTGAGGCACAACACTCAGCCGTATATAAGCTTTCATAAGATCATCACAAGTCAATACTGTTATAGTCGAAAAAATTGAATGTGAAAGGATCAGGCTGTGAACCGCGGTATCATAAGTCCAATAACAACAGCAGATTCAAATTTTCAAGGAAAATTAACATTAACTTCCACGAAAAACCAACAAATATTTACAACATCTCTTGATATAAAGACTAAGATCAAACTGATGAGACATTGTTTACTAGTGCAAGCAGTAATTTGTATTACAGACTCGAAACTCTAAGAAATAATTCTCAAACAAATTGAACCGGCTACATTTCAAGCAGTAATCTCTCTCACCAACCAATCCAGAGCAGGATAAGCGAAGTATAATACTAGCAAAGATGGAAGTCCAAAGAGAATTGTGATCAGCAGGTATAGAAGTAGGATGCCCACACTGGAAGGTATCACGAATATAACAACCAGAAGAAGTACAATAACCAACGGAAACTTGGATGTCAGTCGGAAAAAGAAATCAAGGGACTTCTGAAGAGAAAACTGGGACCTTTGCATTGTAGTGATACCACTTGTATTGCTAGTTCTAGGACCAGTAGCGCTAGACACTGAAGAGCCTAGACGATGAGTCCGCCTACAGTTCGTGACAGAAGTCTGGTTCCCGGTAACTGAAGTTTGATCCCTGTAAATGGCAGATGGAGACGTCACCCTGTCGCCATTTCTGCTTTCCACCATCCAGAGGAGGAAGAAGTTCTTGCTAGGAAACTTGAGATTTCCCTGGTAAAACAACCGAAGTGTCAGCAAATTGCACCATGGGCAGGAAATGAATAATGGAATCTGGACTTGTTGAGTGGAAATCTTCACAGAAGCCGGTTTAAGTCCCAACAGACAATTCTTACAAAGAGAGTGGCCACACCATAATACATAGGGAACATTCTCGACAATGTTAAATGACTCCCAACATATTGGGCATTCTAGTCCTTCCTCGGAGCTGTCATTAGAACAGACATCATCATCATCTGAATATTCATGACAAGTTTGACTGGGCGCAGCAGAATCCTTCTTCTGACCGAAGCTTGTGATGGCATTTGAAATGGATTTCCACATAGCACAATGAAACAAGTGCTATAAGGATCTGGTAGGAAGAACTTGTTCAATGTAAAACACCTCTTTTGGAGCTCTTTTGAACCTGAAATATAGAGCAAAAAGAACTGCGGCATTTATCAGCCATCTCTAAGCAAACAATTATGGAGAGAGAGAAGCGATGATGTTTACACGCCTCATAAAACTGCAATCACAACCCTCTCAAATATCTTTCAAAGGCAAAAACGAATATATCCACTTTATTGTTCCTGCTGACAATCATTACGTATCAGCAAAAAGAAAAAAAGTACATATTCCCTAAATCCCTATTAAAAAAATCAGCTCCCTATCCATAAAGAAATCCTGAATTGGACCTTGTTTCCCCTCTAAGTGGTGAAAATTGTAACCAAGGCCAAATTAATTCCTCCAAATGAACCCTTTCATTGGTATGAGCAGATGGGCTATTGACTGCTATATCGAACAGAAAAAGGGACTTTTACATGGCAGCCGCACCTTTGATGCTAGTTGTAAATCATATATTCTATATGCTGATAAAAAGAATGCAATTACAAGACAGAAGAGAAACCTTGAGAGAAAGATCTCTTGTTTGTGGTCTCTACCAATTGCTTGAAGAACGACACTGATATGAGAGAGTTGCATGAGAGTTTCCAGACATACCACCAAATATTGAGGTATGCAAATAGAAGTCCATGTACTAAATAACAAAATTATCATGACTGCTTCTAGGCATAGCTCATGCCCGTGCAGCAAAGGAGCTCACCTAACTCTATGTCAACTTACAACACCATGAGGGCTATGGAATCGTCTATTTGGTTTTCGTGTTTCCGTATCTTTTCAATGCCCAATAATTTGTTTTTCAAGACAAATTAGGGGTCCTCTAAAACTATTGTCTAATCTCACCATTATCCTTAATAAAAAAATCTCTAACCAAACTGAAAAAGCTCTTCGGAAACACCAACACTCGAATATAAGTTTTACAAGAACAACTAAAACTTATTAGGGATTTGGCCCCAAACCAGCTATTGAGCTGGTTTTGGGATTTGGGATTTTGCCAAAATATAGGCAAAATCTATGGCCAAACATGTGTTTGCCAAATAAAACCCAAGTTTATTTTGGCAAAATCTATGGCCAAACGGGTCCTTAGTCTCAACTACTTGGTATCGCCTATATGGATCCTTTGCTTCCAGTGTGTTCTCCTTTTAGCTAAATCTACGTGAATTCCGAGAGATTCTAAGTCTTTGAAACAACTCTCTTCCATAAGATTTTAAGTCTATCTTGTCCTCTTTTTTTTGGGTGTGGATAAGATAAGGTCCTCTTTTCTTATCACAGAGAAATCTCTAAGGGTCAATTGGCGCATGGTTTGAAAATCGGTAGATGATGGGCCCACCCTTCTACCTTTCTGCTTATATACCAAGTTTTTGTAAGTCTATCTTGTCTTCTTGTAATAGCTTCATGCGTCATATCAAACATATCCGCCAGAGCATTTGAAGGCCAAAATAGGAACAAGTCATTTTAGGCAATCGTTTTTATGTTATCATCTCTACTCACACACTAGGTTGCGATATTTCAAATCTTGTTTAATTAAAAATGACTACACATCCATCTTAACATTCAAATCTTTACATCAATCATCCTGTGGATATTTTAGTGCTTCACTCCTATAAAACATCATTGTCTCACAACGTTTTTATAGAACTTGCCTTTCATTTTGGTAGGTATCTTCTTATTGCATAACACTCCTATAGCAAGCCTGCATTCAGTCACCCTATTTTAATTCCTGTCTTCATCTAAGAAATGAGTGTCATCATCCTTTAAAGTTTTTACCTTATAATTTGTAATCATAGCTCACATTCTAGTTTCACAATTGTTGCAATATATTATGGAAATCTATCATATATGCATACATCAATCTACCCCTCTGATGGTAGTTAGACTAACTCCTTCATTACAAAATTATGCTCTGAGAACAGATAATGCTCAAAAGGAGATATCTTAAGATTCTTAACAAGTACAAGACTCAACCCTTGGTTACTCCTTCAACCATTCCAGTCTCGAAATAAACACTCTTAAAGGCGAAAAGATGACCTTAATTGCTATAGCTCATTTTATTCCAACAACGACAATGCATTAATCCCAAGTTAGTTGGGGTCGAGTCGACTATATGAACCCTCACAACTATGTAAACTCCATACAGACCCGTATCAGTGCAATATGTAAAAGGGTAGATTCTCTAGCACTAGAGGTTCTCTATATTTTCTACGGGCATACAAATCTCTAACAAGACTATAGCCTACATCTATCTTTTCTTCCACCGCACACCTTTTGTGCTATCTGCATGTATTTCAAGAGATTGTTGGTCTTTCTAGATAACTTCCTAATACCTCATCCCCTTTAACAGATCCATCACCATTGTTTCACACCTTAGACCACTCTACTTCATTTTACAGTTTTAAAAGTTTACTAATCCAATGACAAGAACTGAGTCAAACATTCATTAACAAATGCATACCAATCAGAAAAGTTTCAAAATCCAAACTTTCTTTCAACTCTTTCTTTTCAAACTAAAATTACATACACAAACAAGATGAAAAAAGAACAAGAAGCTAAAAACCCAAAAAAGGGTTAGAGCTAGAATTTGAATTCCACAATATTTGGCAGATCAATAGCATTGAACCAATCACAAAATACCCACAATAATTCAAACCAAGAAATGGATTTATCTCACATGTAACAATAATTTCAAGGCATAATAAACCCACAAATCTCATAAAAATCCAATCTTGAAATTTAGTTACCATCAAAACAAGATAAAAAAGAATTAAAAATTTGCAGAATCAGAAGCAGAATCAGAATGAGAATCAAAGATTCAAGAAACGGTGATGTGATTCATGAGATAGGGAAATGAACTTACTTGAATAAATGGGTGATTATAAAATTGCCAAAGAATTAAACAGAAAGAGAAAAGAGGGAGAGAGACCAAAAGAGAGAAAATGGGAAATTTATGTGTAAGGTCTCTCTCTTCTTTTTTCTCTCTGTACGTTTTCTGAGGAATCTGTGTGAGGAGATTTTACGTGGGACTATACTGTAGATACGAGGCAGCCAAGTGGAAATATTTGATTTTCTGTTTTCTTTTCATATATTTTAATTTAAACCTTTTTTTAGGTGGGGAATTAGGTATACTATTTTTTCTCGTCTTACGAATTTTGGAAATTTGTTAAAGACCCGTTTGGCCATGAGTTTTGCCAAAATAAATTTAGGATTTATTTGGCAAACATATATTTGGCCATAAATTTTGTCCATTTTTTGACAAAATCCCAAATCCCAAAATCACCCCAATTGCTGATTTTGGGCCAAAACATGACCATTATATTTTTTTAAAATTTTTAAATATCACCCCAAACTTTTATAGTTTGTAAAAGAGCCCACATTTATTACTACCAACTAAACCATGTCTGCTCACTTGCCTCTCGTTAAACTCACACGTTTGCTTTGCCCTCTATAAACAGAAGAGAACTCCACCGCAAATTCTCCGTGCCAATCGATTGCAATCCACAGCAAAGACGAAATTTGAAGGTAATTTGGTAAAATCTGTTAATACTTGTTTAAATTTTCTGCATATTTGTATGAATTTTCTTCGGATTTGTTTCGCTAGTTCTGTATGAATTTTCTTCAGATTTATTTTGCTTAATTTGTATGAGTTTTTCTTCAGATTTGTAAACCCTCCCATGTATATGAGGTTTCTCATCTCCTACATTGACTAATCTTTGCTTGTGATGACGATAAATGGCTATCTCTTTTTTTTTTTTTTTTTTTTTTTTTTTTTTTTTTTTTTTTTTCCGGTTATGTTTGGTTGAAACTGTGGTCTTGTGTTGGCTGGAAAAGTGCTTATGCCGTTATGCAATTTGGATATTGGGAAGCAGACGTAACTCAAAAAAAATAATTTCTTTCCCTTTTATATAGCATCTTTATGCTTTATTTTTTTCGTATCATTCGGCTGATGTAGCTAATGTTT